TATGCAGGTGAAGGGAGACATCTTCCTGAGCAGCCACAAATCAACCTGGTTTGGCAATCCTGACTCAGCCAGTCAAGAACTGAGTCTTACATAGTTACTCATGTTGAAACATCTCTTAAATTCCCACCTCCAAGACCTCGTGGGGTACTCTGCAGGTTGAAAACATACTGCTTTTAATCTCAGGGACCCAAAATCCGTCTGGTACTGCTGATAGGTCTGTAGAAGCAGCTGCTATTTGCGTGTGAAGACTCCTTTCCTCCAAGAGCCAGAGGGACCCAACATAAGTTATAGCATCTGCCTCCAACCAAGACTTTCAATAGCTTGGACAGAGAGCATTGCAGAGCTCCAACTACTTCGGAGTTGAGTTAAGAGGAACCAGCAAATAAACGCCATTTGGGGTCAAGATCAAGATGAGCTCTCCGTGGCTTCACAGCTCATGTAACGGAGTCAGACCGGCGCACTTTTGGAGTTGACCCGATTGGAATGTGATCAGACTCCACAGCTCCTGAGCAGGTGTCCTTTGGTGAACTACCTGACCTCGCTCACCTGCCTTTCCTTTCCACCTCTGCACAAAGAAGCTCTGACACGTGTGTCTTGGGGTCGTGGGGTCACTCAGAGAAGACACATCGGAAGCTGTCAGCACTCTCTCTAAGCTTGTGGAGGTGCTGATACACACTGGCCCTTTTCTAGCCCAGATCAGAAATAAGCTAACATTTATATTTAAACAGAGCAGGAAGCAGGTATGTGAACCTGGCCAGGATTTTCTTGTTCTCTGGGGGAGCATGTCTACAAATGGGCCCCTCATGCTGTAACAAATACCAGTCGTGAAAGAGTTTACAGCCACACTGGATCCCCCTCACCTGAAACAGAGACAGCTGTCCTTGAGCTGAGCATTCCAGGAGGCAGGAGGGATGAAAGACAGGGATGAGCAGTCCCTAGAAGGAAGGTCTGGACTTGCCGCTGGGAGAAAACATAACCGTGCCCTCTGAGGCTTAGTGTCCCCTTTTCCCAGGCTCACACCTTAACCTATTGTTGTCTTTTACACACGCATCTGCCTCTCCTGGCTCTGGCCAAGCTTGCAGGTAGAAGTGCCAGGAAAATTTGCTCTGGTTGCACCCAGGTTCAGGGTGCAGCATCAGTCCCATCTTGTGACTCTGCTTTTGTGACTTGTGTGACCCAGGTCTGCAGAGTCCTGGGGCTTGAAGTATCAGAGAAGTCATGAACTGAAGCAGCCGTGGAAGTGGGTCTGGAGACTGGCCACACCAGACCGGAGTATAATGGAGATAATTCCGTACACGCTTTCCTGCAAGGAAGCCGTGTTGGATCTGCTAGCAGAGACAGTGGCTGCATTCCCGCAAGGCAAGGGGCTCTTTGCAATGACTGCTTCCATGAGTTCCCTGTTTTCTCCACAGGACAGGTGTGACAGTATGGTCCCCATAAAGCACCTACGCTTCTGACTTTAACAAAAAACGCCAGCTGTCAACTCAAAGAGAATTGCAGGTATAAAAATAAATAAAACACACAGCATTGAGCTCCTGTTTGTTGGCTATACCTAATAGTTCAAAGTACAGGCCAGTGGAAAGCTGTACACTGGGCCCCGTTTCACATTAGATTGTAGTGTTCCTTCTCAGAGCTTCTTTGTCCTGGTTCCTAAATGCCCCTCTACAATGGCAAGTCTCTTGCCTTGTCAACAAGGACCTAATCTTCTTGCTTTTGGATCTTGTCATCAACGTAGTTTCTGCGAGCAACCCATCTTACAAGGAATTTTGTTTTTTTTCTCAGTACTTAGAGAATCCTGCCAGGGCCCAAAATCTGCAGCTGCAGGATTTGTGTCAAGGCTCGTGTCCATTCCCTATCCCTTGAGATGTAGATAGATACAGTCTCAGCTTGATCATTAAGACTCCCTGTCCCTGCCCTGTTTGGAATTTTCTGCATTTTGTGGCCACTCTGCTCTGGGCTTCAGTTCACCTTGGATGTTCCCATCCTCAGATGCCCTGCACAAAGCACGCAGATAACTGAAGGACTAGAGGCTTTCATCCCATCCAGATACTTGGCAGCTTCCAGCAGAGCAGTCACTCGCAGAGGACACACAAGGGAACAGACAGCAGGCAGCACCCGAGAAAGTCACTGCAAAGCAGATTTGGAAGCAGAAAAGCAAGGAAAGGAAACAGACTCTCCTAGGGCCCGCAGATGCATTTTGAAACTCCAAGTGTTTTTAAGTAACTTGGCATACAGGTTGGGATCAAATGATACTTATCTTTTTCTCATTTTTTGGCCCCACAATTTACATTTCTGTGCGGCAAGGTTGCAGAACAAATGAAAATTTGCTTAGAGAGGGGCAGTGGAGCAGAGTAGCAGCTGCAGAGGTTGGAAAGCCTTGGAGATCCCTCCCTGATCAGCTCCTGCATTTTTGTTTTTTATTCCCCAAGCAGACACTTACTCTGACCCAAATCACTGGGTGATGAGGGTCAATTCGTGGTTAAGCTTTGAAGATTAGAGAGACCAGAAATGGCCACCACTTTCCTTTCTGTTTTCTTTGAAAAAACTTTAAAAAGCAAAAACTTTTAAAAATGCATAATATTTTCAGTTCACGAAAGGAATTTATCCACATTTCTGCCATGTTAAATGTTAGCAAAGTTTATGTTGGACTGTCATATTTCTTTACTTTATTCACCAGCATACAAGACGTCGATCTCAACATCTGGTTTTTAATAACCCTCGACATCTGGGAGCTCCTTTTTATTCCTATGGTGGACGAGGAACAGTAGTGATATTGGCAGTGTATATTTTCAAGCTAAAACTCCTGTCTGTTTCAATCATAATTAATTACCACTTTTTAATATATTTAATTTGCTAAAAGTGATTTGCATTAGACCACATTTCACTGTTAAGAAAACACCAGTAGGTTTGGGTAGCAGTGGCTTTTTTTTTCTCTAATTTTTGAAAAATTAAAATCCTATATGATTGGATTTGGAACACAATGAAAGTATATTAGTTATTAGGTTTGAAATGCAAAATGAAGTCAACGAAAGTCAAGGAAAGTTCTTTTATAGCCATTTAGGAAACCTTTAAAAGGGAGCTGAGCACTGCCTTTTAGAGAAAGCCTCTTGTTTTGCTTTGTGTCTCTGGCAAATCATAACATTTTTCTGTGCCTAGAGTTTTCCTACAGCAACAACTTTGGGGGATCAAGAACCTTCTGATGAAAGCTAGGGCCTCCATCCAGAGACATCTATTTACACACACGCCCAACCACATTCTGCCCTGAATCTCAAGGAGTTGCAAGACCCCTTGAAACCCATTTGTGGGTGCCTCGGGGTCCCCTGCTCTAGACTTCCGTCTTCATTAGCATGAAAAGCAACATCAGCTTTGCTTTTCTCTGGGAATGGAGAGGAAGTGCAGTGAATGTGAAAATCCATTGTTCCTAGGCTATATAGGGAAAAGGAAGGTTTATTGCCAGTAGCAATTATGAGACTGTTGAGGAATAAGTAAGCACAGATAATTTGCCCAGAAAAAGACCCAGCTAAAATGATCAAATTATTCTGTTTTCTTGGCCAGAATATTCCTACCTAAACTATCAAGTGAAAATTCCTACTGAATTGTCCAGCTCAGACTCTGTGCCAATAATTGGATTGACTCAAGTCAATCCAGGATTCTGAAGCTTTGTGAAGCACAGATCTTAGGCAGACTGGTGAACTCTCTGGACCTCTTCTCAGAATTATGTTTTTGAACGCATAAAATAAAAATTCAAAGACATACAAAGGAAACAAATTAAGATGAACGTCAGTTCCAAGACCACACATGTAAATCCTTGAATGGATAAGAATTACCTTGACAGGATTTGAACTGTATGAGATGGCTGTTTTTGCTAGGTCAAAACTAGTCAAATATGGACATTTGCGTATGATTCAACCTAATATTTTAACAACTTAAACAATAAGGATCCACATAGTGAGAAAGTGTTCCAAGTTGTTGTTGTTGTGTCTCTGTCCCTGGTTTTTAAAATAAACAAATCATGGCAAAATGTGGTTTCATTGGGAATTTATGAGGATACATAGGATATGGACCAGTTTACATGTTTTGTTTCCATCGTTCCAATAAAGAGGGAGAATTGTTTAAAACGGAAGCCATGTATGCTTCTGTCTTCGAAGCTTTGATTTGCCTGCCTTGCTAGCCACCTCACCAAGGGGGAAAGTGGCCAGAGCCATTTTGGAAACATTTTCAACAAGAATTCAGACCAAATAGGTTTTCGTTTATCCAGTTGAACACAATGTTAAGTTAAACAAAACTTCCTTTCTACAAGCACTCTATTGAATTGGAAGTTTACTCTCATTTCTTTTAAACGTATTTGATTGCAAATGTATAATCATTTCCTGCAAATGTATAATCATTCCATGGCGTGCACATCCTCTTCTCTGCTGAGAGCAAAATAGAACCTGACAAAATAAGAAGAGCGCAGCATGCTTGATCCTTTGTGAAATCACCACCGTGAATTACCGCATGCTAAAAAAGTTTGTTCCACCCAAGTAGATAGAGTCATGTGTGTGTGTTTTTTAATTCTTCTTCAGCCTTTATTGATACTTTAAGCTTCAAGAGAAATTAAGGGTATTTGATTACTATGATTACTTCTCTGCTTACTTAAAAGGTTTAATCTACTCCTTAGGCGTATACAATTGAGATCGCATGCTTTCCAAAAAAATAATCATCTGCTAATGTAGACTAATTTTAATCTTCTAATCCCATCTTGACACAGAGTCAGAGCTGGGTGGGTGGAATGTTTTTGTGTGGGGTTGCCATGGATACAAAGCTTGGTGATATATTTGACAAGTTGGTGATATGGAATTTAAGTTACTATAGATTTTTTTTCGCTGCTCTTTAAGATTAACAAACAAAGTGACGATGAGTGTGCCTGTCCAGTGCATCACGGTGTAACTAACCTTCTCTTCTTTCATTCTGGTGCTCCCCTCCTCTCTCTGCCCCTCCCTACCTCGGGCCGGCCGCAGGATGACGAGGAGGGCATATGGGCATAGCCGGGCCTGTAAACCAAAGTTCCAGTTTTGTTTTGAGGGGTGAGAAACCATCTTTTATATCATTTTTCTAAAACAAAAAAAAAAACTGCATTCTAGTGTTGCATTGTGTGTGTGCTCAGTTGTGCTCGCTGATGTTTGTGACTGTGCCATCTATTTGCTACTGTGTTCTGTGAGCGCAGAATGTCCCCGTGCCCTGACCCTCCCCAAGAGTTCCCTCCATCCTACCTCCACCCTTGCCATCACATTACTGCTCTGCCTTGTTGGGGGCTGGGTTTAGCACGATTCAAATGTTTCTGTGTTATTTAAGATGTAAACTGCGCCCTTCCTGGGATTTCTACACACTTCTTAATGATCATGGACTCAGACCTTGTCATAGTTCTCCAGTTGTGGTTTTCAGCCAACTGCTTGCTGTTGCCAGATATGCCAGTGTGTTGTGACTCTCATGTCTTTCTGATTGTGTCAAAAGTTTGGCAAGGAATAAGGAAAATAAAACTGTATGTTCATGCATCTGAAACTATCGTCTCTCAGAAGGCCGTTTAATGGATTATGCGCCCTCCTCCATGGCAGTTCTGAAGAAAATGCATGGATCAGAGCATAGTGATGGTGAATGGGTAACAGACTGTAAACGAGTGAGAATAGAACTCTTAATACCAGCAAGTCTCGTTAGTGGCCTCATATCTGTTGCCTTTCCAAAAATTGTGCCTCTGTGGCTCTTTGCATTATAAATTACATGCATTGCATTTTTCAGTGCTTTAAAAAATGGATTCTTAGCTACCAAGAGCACATCCTTCACTTCTGTCTTCATTAGAATTGAACAGTGGTGCATGTAATTACTGTGTGGTTGCAAATGGACCCTTGAGCTCGAGCAACTTGTGCTGCTGGGAAATGCTCTTCCTGTGCACCACAGACTGGCAACGTCAAGTCACAAGCTCCTTGGACTTGAACAAGCATATGGTTACGTGGAATATAATATTAAATTTGATGGCATCGCTTATGGCATTTTGTTCAGAACACGGAATGTGGTAGATTGTATATACCACGGTGGGTAGATAGTGTTCCACCTGCAGTTCTTTTCTCCGTGGCAAATGTGAAAAGCCAGGGTGTTAGCAAATCAATAAGTTTGGGACAATTCTTTGGGACAGCTTAGCATGCGTGCCCTTCCCCAAGTCTTGCCTTCCTGTATAATCCAACAGTGTGCGTCGGATGAATTTTAACCAAGAAATGGCTTGTTTTACCCGTGGGTGGCAATTTCACTGTGGTTCATTTCTTACCTTAACCCATCATAGGTCCCACCAATCGGTCAGTTTGATTCCTGTGTGGGGAGCACACAGGGGCTGGGTTTTCAATTAGAACATCTTTTGTATAGTAAAGATATAATGCCTCATGAATACATTTGCTGCCAGTATAACCTGCTTCATGTTCATACTGGAATATCTTGTCTCTTCTGCTTTACTTGGGTAAAGGGGGAAGCAGCATTAGAATTAACACTTCCAGGTACAAAGTGGCTCCAAAGGGAAATTTGACAGTATGAGGAGGTGTGGAAACCAAAGAAATGTCCAACTTTCTGAGAGACTCTTATCACTTTAAGAGAAATTTCCCATTTACTCACACACACACACAAAATTAAAGTATAAATAAACAGAAGAGAAGAAAGGGTTTTATAACAGTTAGAAATAAACATGTAGGGTGGGCATTTGGCCTATTGGATGACACCAGCTATGATGCCTGTGTCCCACATCAGAGTTCCTAGGTTCAAGTCCTGGCTTTAGCTGCTGACTCCAACTTCCTGTTAATGCAGGCCATGGGAGGCAGCAATGATGGCTTAAGTGGTTGGGTTCCTGCTACTGGTATGGAAATCCTGGATTTGAATTCCTGGCTCCCAACTTCAGTCCTCTGGTCACTGTGGGGATTTGGAGAGTGAACTCATGAACAGGAGCTCATTCTGTCTCTCTCTCTCTCTCTCTCTCTCTCTCTCTCTCTCTTTGCCTCTCTCTCTTTCTCTCCCTCCATCCCTCCCTCCAGCCCTCTGCCTCTCAATTAAATAACTTTCTTAAAAGTTAAAAACAAAAGTGTAAATCCTGCCCAAAATATGCATGGGCTGGCAAAGGACGACTCAAAAGAGTTTGGGAAGTACAGTTTCTGCTTGGGGCTCTTGTACCAAGCAGCTTCTTGTGCTGTCGTGTTAGGGCACCGGGCTGCATTTGTGTCTTCTCCTGAATAATAAAGATTTTTTATTGCTCTTTCACAAGACATCTATTGTGCCATTCCCTGAGCTACGAGTGTGATTGTCATCTTCAGCATGAAATTGGCTCCAAGACCCACAGAAAATCTTGCCCTTCTCAAGGCAAATATAGACAGTGACATTCAACTCCATATCCCCTGTATTTCTTTATGAATTTTCCCAAGTGCCATGCACCCCAGAAAACAAAAGTCTTCAAAAAATTAGTCAATACATAATCCTACTTTAATGTGTTGTAATAAATTTTATAGGCTTCTGAAGAAAACTACTTATCTTTCTTTATGACTCCTTTAAACAAGTTTGCTCAGATATCCTCAGGCTTTTAAAACCATATCTTTAAGGATTTCAATAATGAGATACTGAGAGAACCTTCTATTTCTGAACAGCGTTGCATGTTTTGAATTGCATTACAATCTGTGAGGCCTAAGGAGACATTAAATTTATAACTGAAGATGGATAATAGTAGTGCATTAAAAATTAACTGTTTTGAATGTTTGGATTTATGGCACTTATAAAAGAAACATTACAAGATGTTATTTTACTGGGCATCAGTAATATGCTCATAATAGCGTCAGAAGGCTCTAACTGGAATCTACAGTTTGGGTGCTGAAATAAATCATAATTTAGGAAAAATCACCCTAAAATTTATAACAAATCGGAATTAGCATAACAACCCCAACAGCTCCTCCCTTTTTTGCTGCTTTGAGATGGTTGCCCCCCGCAGTGTGATTTATTTATCTCACTATGATCATTCAAGGGTGGTAGTTTCTGAATAAAGTAGATTGGGGGAAAGTTTGATTTTTCTGTAGAGTTTTGACAGCCCATAAAGCTAGCTAGCCTTCCCTACCTAAACCTCACACTCAGGCTTAGGTGTACTAGGTGTAGCCCTACACTTAATAAGTCTCCATTCTTCTTTTGAAGCTCTGCTGTTAGGCTCTTGAAATTCCCAATAATTGTCAAATAAGGAGCTTCACGCTTTCATTTTCACTGAGCATCCCCTTACCTCTTGGCTCAGCCACAGCCCTGTTTCCTTATGCCCCAGATTCACCAGTGGCCTGTCTTGCGTTCTGGTTTTCTACTGGAAACTCTATGGGATCATGTTTCTGGTCAGTTGTCGCCATCCTGGGCATCTCTGCAGGTACATAGTGGACCTTTGTCTTCCCCTCCCCCACACTCACTTTCGAATGTAAAAATGTGCTCATGAAGCCCTTAATGGTATTTTCTATCTCATTTTTACATAATATAGGAAAAGCAGCTCTTCAAGTCTCCATAACCTTCCTTTGGGGAAGATCCACTTAATGTGGCAATCATCTGTATTAGCAAATAATTCATTTCCATTGCACGAAGGTGCTTTCCTGCTTCTTAGAGGAGCCTCAATCAGGAGCAATACTTCCGAGACAACTCCCAGACTTCTGGAACCCTCCTTTGCCTACAAATCCATACATATTTGGGGCAGGTTTCATACTTCTTCTACTTTTGTTTTTGTGAACAGTCAATGAGGTAGGGCAGCAGGGGACCAAATCAAGGCACCTTGTGCGATTTAATGTCACATCTGCCTTGACGTTTGCTTGTTTGAGCCCTTGCTGTGAACTCTGGTAATTTAACAGACCTAAAACATAAGATCATTTTTATTTCTTAAACCACTCAAAAAGAATAAGTCTTTTTTGATTGAAAACATATGCAAGTTTTTAGGACCTGGTTCAGAAAAATACAGATGTGGCATTAACAAGCTTTGGCATGGAGCTGTGATGCCAGGAGACGCATGGTGTTGGAAGTGAAGAACTGAAGCTGAGTGCCACTAGCATGTGCACAGTGTATGAGTGAGTACAACTCTGAATCTCAAAACATTTAGATAGGAGGTGGGGGATTTGTTACATGTAGAAGCAGCGCTGGAAGATCCAAAGGAATTCTCTGGCATGCATCTCCCCAGGAAGAATGAGGAAGAAGAGGTTTTATTGGGACTGAGAACTTTATACCTTCTTTGCCTTCTCTTAGCAGACAAGGTCTGTACACTATGCCTATGCTTGTCCTGGGGTAAAAGAAATCTAGTCGCTGGGAAAGAAGTAATGGAAGGAGCCTTGGACTCTATGCAGGGGGGTGCAAAGTGGAAGCTTTCTTTACAGGGAAAGCTATTAGCACTTTGATTTAACCCAAACTGTCAATAACAGGATTTGCTATGTCTCCTCCTTGTGTCACTGGCCACTAATCATTCATTTGTTGTTCACTCTTTATCCATTCTTTCATCAAATGGTTGAGTTCTTGGTTAGCTTTTGGGAGAAGAGTGATGAGTAAGATAGACATGGTTGCTATCTTACCATATAGTGGGGGGAAACAGAATGTAAATGAACTTAAAAATAGAAACCTTAGATATCTAGATTGTTGCCTTGATGGAAACCAAAAAGATATTTTGAGATTAACAGGAGGAATCTTCATAAAAAAGAATGTTCAATAAGCCTCTCTCTAAAGAATTACACTTAAAGCGCAAGTCTTTAAAGGAGGGAGAGGCAGGCATATATGCAAAGGTTTGGAGGTGGGAAATTTTATAAGCTGATGAGGCTTGAAGACCATGACTCTGGGGGTAGAGCACCACACAGAGGGATGAGGACAGGAAAATGGAAAAGGGCTAGATTTTATAGGGCCTTTGGGGCCACGATAGAGTTTAGACTCCAACTAAGCAAAATATACAGACATTGGAAAACCTTAAACAGGTACATGGCATGAACATGATGCAACTTATGTTGTAGAACAACCCTGGCTGCTGTGTAGAGGGTGAAATTTCATAGCAGGAAGAGCGGGAGAG